TATCTATCTATCTATCTATCTATCTATCTATCTATCTATCTATCTATTTTTCTAGAGATTAGAGGCCAGCATCTTCAGGGAATAGCTTAAGTTACTGGAAAGGAGTAGGAACGGCAGCATTAGAATTAGCTGTGATTGTCAATATCTAAATATGTTTTGTGGTTTTTTTTTTCTTTCCTGGTTCCCACAGACAAGAGTGAGATCGCTCATCGGTATAAAGATTTGGGAGAAAAACATTTCAAAGGCCTGTAAGTTCAAATGTTCAAAGCCATCTTACTAGTTCCAATAGCTCCAGTTCTAAAATGCCTTTGCTCACCTCGAGTGTGCAAATTGTAGAGCAGCGCTGTCCCATAGAAATGTTTCCGTTGATGGGAAGACTGGGTCTGTGCTGAGCAACATGGCAGCCATAGGAAATGTGGCCATTGAGCACTTAAAACATGGCAAATGTAACTGAAGAGCACACATTCAAATAATATTTAATTTTACTGTATCTATGCCACATGTGGCTAATGGCCATTTTACTGGAGAGAGATTCTGGAGCCCACATCCAACTTGTGAAGTCTTATTTTTCTTTATGCAGAGGTTTATGATATATATTTCCTTGGGCAGCTCACTCACTAACTCTTCTTTGTACAACAAGATCGCACAATATCTTGAGAACATTATTTTGTGAAGTCATCACATCCCCAACCTTAAACATGTTTTGATGTAGTGAAAAACGAGTAATTGGTATATTTTTAAAAGGTCAGTGGTGTTAACAAAGTTATATGGGTTAGAAAAGAAATAACTGAAAGGACTTACATAAAGTCTAGCCTTGACAATTGTTTGCCCCCGTTCATAAATCTTCTGACACACACACATGCATGTACACTTAAGCATGGTAGAAATCCATATTCTTTTTGCTTAGAAAGGCTCATGCTCCTGGTTATGCCTCAGAGAAGACCTGAACGGAATAGGCTTTCTAGATAGTGACAAGAAAGATATACAAAATATAGAAGACACACACACACACACACACACACACACACACACACACACACACACCACACTGTTCACTGTTTAGGAGAGCCAACTGCTTCATACTAAAGTTTTATTTCTGTAACTGTTTTTCAGCGTCCTGATCACCTTTTCCCAGTATCTCCAGAAATGCTCCTATGAAGAACATGTCAAATTAGCGAGAGAAGTAACTGACTTTGCAAGCAACTGTGCTAAAGATGAGTCTGCTGAAAACTGTGACAAATCACTTGTAAGTACATTCTGATTCTGAGGATCTCCTTTTGTGTTTCATGTTATTCTGAGTGTCTCAAAGGAAAACAAGTCATTACCCCCACACTTAGGGATCAGGGAACACTGTGGAAGAGGGGGCAGAAAGATTGTTAAAGCCAGGGTAACAAGGATTTTGTTATGAGATTGTGTTTTCTAGTAATGTCAGAAGCTACACTCAAAAAGTCTCACCAACATGACTTCCTAAATGTGAGCGCAACAATGACTATGACAGTAGACATGCCAAAGTGGAGGAGAGAAAGGCCACAAGGCCTCATCCCTATCTAAAGAACTATAGGCAAGTAACAGATGCTGAGAGCGGGAGAAATTGCCTTCTCCAAGGAAGAGAACACCAAATGGCTATTCAGTATTAATGGTCAGCCCTGAAAACATATATAGGAGCAGGCTATATTTAGAAATATGTGTGTACATACATAAACATATGCATATAACAATAATTAATGAAAAATGAAGCTGCTTATACATTTTGACTCCTACGGGTAACGCTATGGTAGCATAAGAGAGATAATGTCTTCTTAACATAATGGTACTATGTTAATCTTTAGAACACACAGCAGGTTTCTCTGTTATTTTGTTAGCTTGATAAAAATCATAGCGTAGCTCTCTGTTGTCATTTTAGGAGCACAGATATTTTATATACGCAATTAAAAAGTGGGGTTTTCAGTCATTTAGAATTTTTGCTATTTACAGACAAGCCTTTAAAATCTGATACCCTAGCTTTTCTGTCCACTTAACCTATGGGCAAGCATGTTTTCAATTTATCTCTAGACTCATTCTTCTTGCCTTCCTCTGGATACCTTTCCCTCTCATTGAAGAACTAATACTTCACACAAAAGAGTACAGTTCTACCTTGTTATTCCTAAAAGTACATATTTGAAATTTAGTAAATTCTGTTTAGGATCAGTAAAATTCCGTGAAGTTAAATGGCTTTTATAATAAAAATTAATGAGGAAGGGAAGGATTATTTAACAAGTGAAGTCCCTTGAGGGAGGTGTTTCTAGAGTAAAGAGGAGGTGTGCGCTTTAGTGCAGTAACCACTTAAAGCAGATTGTGGTGTTCTTCAGTTACAGGGAGCCTACTGAAAACTCAGGCTTCTCCAAAAGGAGCCTATCCCGTGAGGAGCTGTGTGAACACGCTCTTCCTGAGCTTGAGTTCATCTGCTCCTTCAAATTCCTTTGATTTTATTTATTTATTTATTTATTTATTTATTTATTTATTTATTTATTTATTTATTTTTATTATTATTATGCTGACTTCTCTCCTGGCTTTTAGTGCCAGACAGAAAATGTAAGGCGATATTCTTCAAGGCCCTCAGCTCTTTGCTTCTCTGCTTCAGTCACTATACATAACCCTGTGACACCTGACTATCACAAAAATTACACAGAAATAGACAAATCAAAGGAAAGCAAATGAGGGAATTTTCTTTTGCTTCATGGTTTTAAAGGAGTAATTTATTACATTAACGTTTTTATACTTAAATTTATTTTGAGTGGTATGTAAAAGCATAAAACTGTATATAGCTCAAGGTGCCATGTGATGCTTCTATATAGATAGGTACATCTCATCTACGTACATACGTACAAGGCACATGTTTTCTTTACTAAATTTTATCAGCATCTCTGGGTTTTTACACTGCTCTTCGGCTATGCAGAAAGTCAGGACCTGGCAGGAATTTGACAGCCTCTGTCTTCCACTTAGCACACTCTTTTTGGAGACAAGTTATGCTCTCTACCAAGTCTCGGTGAAAAATATGCTGAACTGGCTGACTGCTGTGCAAAACAAGAGCCCGAAAGAAATGAATGTTTCCTGCAACACAAAGATGACAACCCCCAGCTGCCCCCATTCAAGAGAACGGAGCCTGAGGCCATGTGTACTGCCTTCCAGGAAAATGCTGAAACATTTATGGGACAGTAAGTACTTAGATTTGTATGCTTTAACACTGGTTAACACCTCTGACAGTTAACACTTCTGCTGATAGTCATCAAATCCCCAAATAACCAACAGCAAGCCTGGAAAGGTTTGACCTCGAGAAGACCTTTAAAAACATATTTGCAAACACAAAACCATACAAAACAACAACAAAAAGATCAAAAATGTTTTGATCTTGAAAACAGGTATTACCCATGTGAAAAAAAGCTGAGACAGAGAAGTTGTAAAATAGTCTGAAGGTGTGTGTGTGTGTGTGTGTGTGTGTGTGTGTGTGCGCGCGCGCATGCGCTGTTCATGTTCTCTGGATCAATTTCATTTTAGTCAGCAACATACATCACCTAAATTTAACTATCTACCCAAAGTGCACGCTTGTGAATATTTGCACACACACACAAATTTCATCCCCCTTTTCTCACTTGAGAACAATAGAACGGGCCATCACTCACAGACGGCCACACCGAGTAAAACTGGCCAATGACAATCTCTGAGCACGGGCCGACTCTAATCATTCTGTAGTGTTGTGTGCTATGGGAAATGATTGCCTGCTTTCTTCTTTTCCCGTAACTCAGTTACTTGCATGAAGTTGCCAGAAGACATCCTTATTTCTACGGCCCGGAGCTCCTTTACTATTCTGAGAAATACAGTGCAATCCTGACTGAGTGCTGTGCAGCCGATGACAAAGGAGCCTGCCTGACACCCAAGGTGATTCCTGGAAAGACTAGCGGGAGAACCACGTGGTATCCCAACCTCAGATTTTGACCGTTTTATGGCTAGATTTCAGAAACCCGAATCTCCGAATGGAACTCCTCTCTGTCATTAGGAACCCTTCTTCCCTCTTAAGTTACCAGTGGGGGTTTGCTCTAATACCTCTCTTCTGTCTAAAATTTAGCAGCGATGTGTCTTGTACGTGCGTTTGCTTATCCGGTCACTCTTTATGGTGATGACTTTTGTAGTATAATACCGTTGGCACACGTTGGTACCCAGCAAGGGCTACGTGTTTTGTTTATGTTTTCTCAGACCTCCCCTGACACATTTTACTGGGGGTAGAATTCAAAGCAGAGAATTTTCCTGATGCTAGAAGTTGGCTTCCGTTCCTTTCTTCCCTATGTGTTTAGAATATGCCTGGTTTGTTCTTTGGAGGCCCTTACTGATTTTATGAACAGTGATGGAGGAAGGACTGGGATACCAGTCACGCTATTAAGAAGTCAGTCCATGTCATACATCCCAGAGGATAGTGTCCTACGGCTCCTTTTGGCACTCTGCTTTTTAAGTGCCTCGATGCCTCCACTATGACCAGACTCATTTTCTTTTCCCTTAGGTCTCAAGGGGAGTGTACTTGTGAACTTAGGAGTAAATTATCTTTTAAAATTTTCACTGGGATAGAAGGTGCAACTAAATGGCGCAATTCTTGCCTCACACGCACAAAGTCCTGATATCAACTCCCCGTGCAGACCAAGTATTTTGGCATTGGGCTGTCTGGAATTTTTGAAGAGGTGTGTGTGTGTGTGTGTGTGTGTGTGTGTGTGTGTGTGTGTGTGTG